AATGCTATGGTCACTTCGAAGGGCTTTTAAACGATTAGACGAGGATATGTTTGAAGTTATCTATGCATCATATGTCAGGCCTCATCTAGAGTACTGCATACAAGTGGCGAGTCCGTGTTTCAAAAAGGAGGCACATACCCTGGAAAGAATACAGAGGGTAGGAACGAAATTAGTTAGTGGTATCTCACACCTTCCTTATGATAAGAGGATGGAGCATTTAAATCTCTTCCCGTTATCATATGGAAGGAAGAGAGGCGACTTAATTTTTAGCATATCTTGTACTTAAGGGTGATTTAGGAACTGACCTTTCTAACCTTTTCTCCCCTTCTAGGATACATTAACGGGGTCACCAGAAGAAGTTGCTCAAACCAAGGTCGAATAAAATATGGTTGGAGTTTAGATTCTCTCACAGAGTGGTCAACGAGTGGAACTCTTTAGGTGATTCAGTAGTAAAAGCTCCATCGGTGAACGCTTTCAAAGAGAAACTGGATCTCTGCAGAGATATATATCGCGAGGATTAACTTAGGCAAAAAGAGCCTTCTATCCTTATAATCTGAATTTGAAAGCTTTCAAAGAATCAGCTATAATTACGGTTACTTATGTAATTCATTTATCATATTAGGATATATTTAACCTAATCTCTTACCCTATCAAACTTTTTAGAAAGAGAGGGACACAGATGTGATCTAAAGAATTTGAAAAAGGAGAGTGGCATTTTTTACGTTGTGAAGTAAATTCTGCTTTTGTTGTTTAAACCACATCAGAAGCTTTTAGTTCACTTTAACTGATTTATTTAGTTCAAGTGTTGTCTGTTTTATTCACATTTTGTGTTTTGGTTGGTATTTACCTAGCTGTCACACGTATATATAAGTGTGTATTTGTTTGGCATTAACCTCACTGTTTTGACGTATATATAACTGTATAGTTGTAACAAATTAAAATTATGGCCCCAACTAACAATTGTGGTCGACCGGACTGCCACTTTCCGGTGGATGATGGGATGCAGTGTGACAACTGCAGCCTTTGGTTCCACAAAGTTTGCACTGGTTTAACACCAGTAGCCTATAAGAGATGTTGCAAGCCATCATCTCCATGGCTGTGCAAATTTTGCAGCAACCCGTTAGATGTCCTCATCCAAGAGGCAGTAGGACTCTTGATGTCCAAGAAATTGTCGAAAGACATAGTTGAAAAGCCTGTACCAGAAACCTTCGCCAAGGATGGCGGTTCAGGACATAGTTGTAAGATTCAGGGTGCATCACCTCCTGAAGTCTCAGAAGCGAAAGAAGCACAAAATGCCCAGACATCTGTTGCTGCAAAGCGCAAAAGGCAACGGAAATCCAGAAGGGCAAGTAGTGCCAGCATGGCAAAACCAGCCTGTGAAATAGCAACGCCAAAGCGCAGCGTGTCTAGTGCACGAATGGCTTCTAGTCGCGGCGAAAACAGAGTGGGAGAAACGGACTCCACTTGGTTGCTGCCGAAAGGTAAGAAGCTAAACAAAACTAGGAAAGAAACAGTAGCCGAGTTTACCAACAAGGTCTCGACGACTGTTAGTTCCAGCAAAACTCAGAAACCCACGGACTCTAGTTACAGTATAATCATCTGGAACTTGGAGGAATCTAAGAACACAGATCCAGCTGCCCGACATGCAGATGATCTGAAGGCGATCAGCTCCATATTCCGGGAAATACTTCCCGAAAAAACAACTGGAGTACACGTACGAAAGGCTATCAGGATCGGAAAACGAAACCCTGATGCTACAGGAACTCCTCGACGACTACTTAAGGTAGTTTTAGGGAACGAAACAGAGAGGAGGACCATCCTCGACAACGCGTTCAAAGTCAACGACAAAAGTCTAAAAATAAGGCCTGATTGGCCTTTGGAAGATAGAATCAAAAGAAGAGAAGCCGTGGCTGAACTAAAGGCCAGGCTAGAGAAAGGCGAGAAGGACCTCAAACTATTGGGTTTTCGGGTGGTGAGGTCTCGGAAACCGATGCTGCCGAGACCTCTCTTCATAAGCCGGGTGAACACGTAGGTGTTTCGGTGTGCTATACGAACGCATGTAGTCTTAGGAATAAGCTCGCCGAATTAGGAGAGTTATCTGAAAGACTACAACCTGATGTAATTGCTATCACTGAGACGTGGTTGTTAGTGGGTGTAGACTTAACTCCACTCATACCTGGGTATATCTGCATACGAGCAGACAGAGTAAGTAGTCGGAAAGGTGGGGGGGTTGCTCTTTACATCCGGGATGACATAGGGATCAGGTCAACGTTGTCAGAAGCTCATGACAGCGGCACCAGTGAAGCCGCAAGTTGCATCATTAACTTAAACAAAGGCACTTTAACGATCGGAGTTATCTACAGAAGTCCTGCTAGCCAAGCTGATGACTTCGTTCTAAATCACTTGAGGGCGTGGGGTAGTAGAAATAGGTGTCTGATTGTTGGCGACTTTAACGCTCCACATATTAATTGGGGGGAATTAAACTCCACTAGTTTGTATACCTGTTTCAATAGGGAGCTCACATTGACAGTGCTTGAATGTGCACTCGTGCAACATATGCATGCACCAACACGGTATCACCCTGAACATGATCCATCTACTCTAGACTTGGTATTGACACACCAGAAGGAGGACGTTGGTAACATTAGGTGCCTCCCGCCGCTTGGCAGCAGTGACCACATAGTCATTGCTTTTACGTTTAGGATTCATTCTCTCATGCACAGGCCAAAATCTGCTCGTCCAAACATTTGGAAAGCGGATATACAAGGAATCCGGAACGCAGCAACTGTGGTTGACTGGTCAGTTGATACAAGTCAGACTGTCGAGGAAGCTTGGGTAGGATTTAGGAATACACTAGATCGTGTCACTTCACCTTTTATACCTTGGTACACTCCTCGAAAGCCGTCGCATGAACCTCCTTGGATCACTAGTGAAATAAGGAGGTTATTAAGACGGCGAAAGAACTTATGGGACCAATTTGTTATGACAGGAAGGGAAAACTTCCAGAAAGACTACCGCAAAATTCGAAACCTCTGTAAGTATGCGATTAACAAGAGTCGTATAGAGTACGAGAGACGATTAGTACTAGATTGCGTTCATTACCCAAAAAGGTTTTACTCGTATATTAAACGTAGGACTAAAACTAGCAGTGGTATACCGTCACTCATAACCATTAGTGGAGAAGCGGCTGAGTCAGACGAAGGGAAGGCTGAAAACCTCTCTGAATACTTCTGTGACGTCTTCTCGTCTGATAGTACCACCCAGGGATATGGCGAGGTCACTGCCATCGCCACTCAGATGCCCTCAATTGTGGTAGAGCACACAAAGGTTCTGAAACTACTGTCTAAACTGAAGCCAGGTAAATCACCTGGGCCGGATGGACTCCACCCTAAGTTGTTACTTTCCTTGGCGGATATAATATATATTCCGCTTACGGAGATTTTCCAAATGTCTCTGACGCAGGCTAAGCTACCCAGGGACTGGAAGGATGCCATTATAAGCCCTATCTTCAAGGACGGGGATAGGCAATTGGTATCTAACTACAGGCCGGTAAGTCTGACATGCATTATTGCAAAGGTACTGGAAACTATTATAAGGGATCAACTATTAGCTTATGTTGAAACACATGGCTTGTTGGCTGTGGAACAGCATGGATTCCGACCAGGACGATCCTGCTTGACAAACCTACTATTGGCTAGGGAAGACTGGGTTGAGGCCAGAGATAGGGACCATCTGTTGGACGTGGTTTTTATTGATCTTAGCAAGGCGTTCGACAAAGTATCCCACTTAGGTCTCCTTAGTAAACTGAAAGGTTTCGGACTAGACCAATGCCTATGTGAGTGGTTTAGAGATTACTTAATGGATAGAAGGCAGAAGGTTAGAGTTAATGGTGTACTATCAGGATGGAAAGCAGTATCCAGTGGAGTGCCCCAGGGAACTGTATTAGGTCCATTGCTATTCCTATTATACGTTAACGAATTACCAGGGATTCTTTCTTCATCTTCATTATTATTTGCAGATGACATTAAGGTATGGAAAACTGTAAACAATAACGAGGATAGGTTGGCCCTACAAAATGACTTAGATAAATTAGCTGAGTGGTCAAGCCTATGGAGTTTGGAAATGAATGCTAGGAAAAGCGCGGTAATGCACTTAGGTCAGAAGTCTTATACGTCGTACTCCCTAGGGGATGCAGAACTACCTGATGTTAAAGAACAGAAGGACCTAGGAATCATTGTCAGCAACGATTTGAAAACAACTGCAAATTGCAATGCAGCCGCAGCTAAAGCTTTTCGAATGCTATGGGCAATTCGAAGGGCTTTCAAACGATTAGACGAGGGCATGTTCCAAATACTCTACGCAACATATGTCAGGCCTCATCTAGAATACTGCATACAAGCGACGAGTCCATGCTTCAAAAAGGAGGCACATATTCTGGAAAGAGTACAGAGAGTAGGAACAAAATTAGTTAGTGGTATCTCACACCTTCCTTATGATAAGAGGATGGAGCATTTAAATCTCTTCCCGTTATCATACCGAAGGAAGAGAGGCGACTTAATTTTAGCATACCGTATACTTAAGGGTGATTTAGGAACTGACCTTTCTAACCTTTTCTCCCCTTCTAGGATACATTTACGGGGTCACCGCAAAAAGGTGCTCAAACCAAGGACGATTAAAATACGTGCAGAATTTAGATTCTCTCACAGAGTGGTCAACGATTGGAACTCCTTACCTGATTCAGTAGTATCAGCTCCATCGGTGAACGCTTTCAAAGAGAAGTTAGATCTCTGCAGAGATATACTTTGCAAGGATTAACACAGGCCACAAGAGCCTTCTATCCTTATCATCTGAATCTGAAACTGAATCGTCTGAATCTGAATATGACCATGGACATTATCTACTTTCCCATTACCATTAAATCGAATTGACTGAAAGGATACAAGGATGGAACGCAAAGTGCACTGCTGTAGAGTAGTGGTTATCTCATGGGGTTATTAAAAATGAAAAACAAGACTTTAAGGTATTCTTTTGTTTGAAACCTATAAAACCTTGTAGGTTAAAGTAAGGCGGTAAAAGGTACCTAACAGCTGTTGACTCCGTAAGTGATGTGGTGGATTGTTTCCCGCTCTGCTATTGCAACGCTTTACCCACATTACTGATTTGCTCCATATTTCTCCTTGGATCTAATACTAGTCGCAATAAACAGGTCTGATGAACGGTTTTGGTGGATAATATTGTTTGGTAAACTGAGACAGAACGTTGTCCCCTTACCTGACGTAGAACCCGATGCCTTTGCTAGCTGGGCACTCAGACTAGCAACCATAGATTCTGCCCTTGATTTGTGTTTTTATTTCAGTACTAGCATCAAAAATATCTTCTGAATTACAGTCTACTGGGTCAATGACTGGGACTACAGTCCGAAATATATTTTCTCCGTCAAGTGGTTTGGGCTCCATCCATGGACGCTTTCACAGGGACACATTAGGTCATAGAGGCATTGCAAGGATTGACACAGGCTTCAAGAGCCTGAGACAGTTGTCGCCATAATGGGCTAACTGGGATTCATCACATGCAATAAACTAAAAGAAGCTCTTTTCAGTTGGTTGGTTTGACCAGTAAAACCTCACTCTAGGTACTCTGGTTCATAGCATGGTTATTCTTCGCCTACAAATTTTACTAACGGACGAGCCATTGATTTCTTCAAACTAACCGTTCAACACAGTGCAGACATATTCACCCCTTGTGTTCATCTTTACTGTGAGAATCCACATTCTCTCCATGCAACTATTCTTTGTTCCATATATTTTCGTTTGTTGTGATTCCATCGCGTTTCTCAGGAAGCAATCCAACAATTGACCTTAAAAACCGATCAGGAGTTAACCTACAATTATATCCCTGTTTTATTTAGTTAGAGTTAGGTTTAATATTAGTTAAGGTTAGGGCTCCGGAGTCGGTACTATATTCATTGCCCATCTACTGAAACTCGCATTGTAAAGATTGTTACGTTAAGGAATACTGACCAGTCAGAACAAACGAACGTGCAGATGTTGGTGTTCAGCAACTTGAAAAGGTTGCAGTTTTGCTGTTGACAATTCACTCATCAGGTATATTTACATCATTATAATTAACACAACTATTCAAGTATATGGACTTTTAGTTATCTGTCGATGGTTAACTAGATTCTTTTGTTATTACATCTGTGTACATCAGAATTCTCGTATATTAACTGATGTAATAGTAACTCCTTTGTGAATATTTTACAGGTTCTTTTAACGCTGAAGGTTATTGTCAACTGAAAGGTATATATCGAGTACTGGATATAAATCAAGATGGAGAGTGATCGTGTTCTAATAGTAAAAATTGAACACTGGTACGTTTTCTAAGGTTTCACGTATATATAAAAATTTATATATTCGACTTAATTGGATAGTACCTTGATTTTTATGTGTTCAGCATGTCCAACTGACAACTGCTGCCTTGTGGTAGTTGGGCTTGCATACCGCATAAGCTTCACTGACTGAGACTTATGTTTCTGCAAGTCCTACCATGCCAGGAAGGTGTTTTCGGTTATAGGTTAGACTAAAGTTAGTTACTATAGGATACATGCACTCTAGTATCCTTTCGGATCGAATGTTTTGTGAAGTTGTATTGGTTACCGGCAGCCATGGGAATATATCTCTTGACGACGTTGCTCCGCTACCTTACAAGTGTTAGGCAGCAAATCAAAGGCTTGGAGGTGAGGATGGTTCGTCAAGACAACTAACTGCTTCGGTCTGAGGAACTAAGCAGTATCACAACCCTCATACAATACAATGTGGCACATCTTCTTGGTGCCATATTCTACCAGGTTTTGTGTTTTAAATAAAATAAATAGTCAGCATAAATTTTCAGCGAGACGAAAATCTCTAATTTCTGCAATTATCCTCACTTATTTTTTCTGTTGTTGCCTTTTGTCGGAAACTTTTAATTATTTTTCATTGCAAATTTATGGGATTCATTTAGGCAACAAAAAAACAACCCAGTGGACTGTTCACCTTTGTCATCCGGTTTGTGAATGTTGTTCAGTTGACATTCTACTATTGAGTTACCTTCTGCGTTTATCAAGGCGTAGGCATGGGAAATATTTTTTCAACGTCACACATTATGAGTATGGGTGTTGATAATTTAGCGTGAGAACTCGTTTAGAACTCTTCTAGACATTGTAAGGCGTTCTTAATCATGTATGAAATAATAATACTTGTATGTTTTTCACATTGATTTAATCGAATTATGCTGATTTCATTTCGGTTTTTCTCCCACTCCTACTCATTTTATAGTGATGGATGATCTTATTTTCCCCGGGCACGAAGCCTTGGGTCTGCAATTCAACAGAAATTTAAATCAGCTTCTGTGGATATCTATGATGGTCGACCAAGTAAGTTGATCTAACGCCTTTAAACAACAATACTTAATGGCTACTGACTAAATAATGATAAACATTTTTAGTATGCAGTTTAATGACAATCTGCATTGACTGTGTGAGTTAATGTCAAGTTTGGTCATGAAGTACTGAACAGATGCTTCATTCTTGTTTAGGACTCTCCCAACAGTACTTTGGGGATGGAGTACAGAACCTTCTTGTCTACATCGTGAGCTCGTTGATCATTTAGCCACTGGGAAAGTGTTCAAATGGCTGGTTAATTCTAACTTCTGCCAATTCGCAATAAATGAATTACTTTTAATAAGGTTACTGTTATAGACTAATCAATAAGAAGACGTAATTTGTCTGAATTGCGTAATGTATTTGTACGCACAACACATTTCGAACAATCTGATCACACACACGGACTTGTCATAGGAATATGTATGAGGGGTGAAAAGATAGACTTAGGTTAAGTTAAAAGGATAAATTGAAGGTCAAAATAACAATGAAGACCATTAAACCAAATAATGGAGGTAATAGTACATCTGCCCTGGCTGGTGTCAAAACAAAGTTCACCGAGGAAGGTTTAGTGTGATGACGAATTGTTGCTTTGACCACATAAAGGTGCTTTAAACTTCTTAATTGCTAGCTAGGGCTTCCAAAAACTTTAGGATACGCCCCAAACACATTTTATAGATAGGTTTAAAAGATATGTTAACGTCAATTTTATGTCCCGTCTCTATAATATATTTCTCATTAGAGGAGCTAGGTCTCCTGTTCTTACCATTTTAACGGGTTCTGAAGATTCTATCTGCTTCTGGAGCTATTTGGGAATATTCTCTGAAGCCAGCCCTTACTTGCAGAGATCGACGAGTCCTCCCTATGTACGTGTGCTAACACGTACAGTAAAATTGGTAAATATAGTGGGATGTGACATAATTTTTCGCATGTCCAAAGGGCTTAGATGGATGGATATATTATTGGCTTCACATTTACAATTATTATGATATTAGCTGCATAAAAAGTCTTTTTAACAGCAAAGTTCGATTTTTGTCTAGTTATCAAGCTGCTATGATGCCCCCCATATAGGGTAGCTTGATGTACACGTCTTTCTTGGGGGCGAGTTGAAGAGTAGGTCTGGGTGTTCTGACTACTTTATATCCCCTGATGAACTTGTCTGGATAGTTATTGACAACCAGAGTCTCTGTCACCTTTCTTTTCTTTTCCATCAAGTGTGTCTTCAGTGCATATTCGTTAGATTCTACTCAAGAGGCACTTTACTTAAGGGTTTTTTGTACCTAACATGACGGATACTGTGGCAGTTAAGATACTGTCATGTCTAGGTAGGTTTTCTATAAATAGATCGGTTTATTGACCCATTAAGCCATCAACTAAGCAGTATGTCTAGGAAAGATAAACAATTATCTCCCTCTTCTACAGACGTAAGTTTATTTACCTAATACATCATGTCTTTATTATTTTTTCTTTCAGGTTCATTTGAGGTTACTGTAAATGACAAACTGATTTTTTCAAAACTAAAATGCGGTGGTTTCCCAGATACAGAAGCTGTAAGTTTTCTTTATTCATTTTCTTCAAACTTCCGTGAAAAATGTATTACATTACTGGGTCTATCGTTGTTGTTGTCGTTTCAGAGCATGCTAACAGAATGCCTGTCTTTAAAATTAAAACTCTAAGCCAGAGGGCTGTCAGTCAGCAGTCAGGTAATCTAGTAATCGACGTCATTTTACGACAGAATACTATTTAAGTCCCTTAGTCAGGCATTGACTGAATTGCAACTAGTAAACTTGAAGCATCATAAAGCCAGAGCCGCCAGTATTCAGTGAGTCGATATTCTTGTTTTTTTTTTTTTAAATTCCAGCCATAATTATTGTGAACACTAACAGAGATAGAAAGGTAGACGAACAAATAAGCTTAGGACTTTGCAAGACTTTGCAACAGTATCCACCTATAACCCCACTGAAGCACGAACTGAGAACTTTTCGCATATTAGTGTTATTGATCCATGTATAGATTTGATGTGGTATACAACCGAAGTGATAAAATGTTAACTTTACTTACTCTTAGTTCCTACTGTGTTCTAAATGGAACTTCTGGCTCCAGGCTTAATGTCTTGAAGTTTCATGAGTAAGCGTCGTGTTCTCAAAGGGTCAAGTTGCTAGCCTCATCCCCCAATCTTCTCTCTTTCCAAAATTTACTATCGACTGTGTGCTGAGTAAAGTGTGACGACTCGAACTGCTGCACATCGGTGCAAAGTTCCATATTGAAACCAGTCAGTCAGTCAGTCAGCCACTCCTTGTTCGACCAATTTTATTGACACAAGATTTTTTTTATTTCCTTATTGAATTTTAGATTCTTTCTGAGTTGGTTGCAATAACAGAAGGTGAAACACCAAAAGAGGTAACCAAGTGTGAATCACCTGAATGCAATATTCTTTAAGTCAAATACACTGTCTTTCTCTTTTCCTGCTTGCGCGTGTTCGTGTGTGTGTATGCATGGAGTGTGAATAAACAGACAACGAAAGTGCCTAAAAAGACAAATTAATGACGTGTACAAAGCAAAATAATCTTTTAACCTTTGTACACCGATGAAAAATTGTCTTTACTTTCGTTTTCTTTATTCTTATTCTCCTGCTTGATTGTTTCCATGGAGGGGAATACCAACCAATTGTGTATTGATTCATTGTCCTTTTTCGTCGCCGTCTTTAGAACAGTGATTTATGATTGATTAAGACGTTTCTTTCTCCTAATGTAATCTAAATTTTAAAATATAGATGGATTTTTCTACATGTTTAGTTTTAATTCCCTTACGGAGCATACAATATTTCGTGTGATCGAAGTAATAAGGTTGTTTCATACATTTATTCCCCTTAATGAATTTGAACAAAGCAAGAACTTCAGTTTTAGCAGAATAAAATGGTACCATCTTTTATTTCGTTGCCTTCTCGTCAGCTGCTTACATGGTAAAGACATTATTAAATATATCTATGAAAACAATGTTAACATACTTGCGCCGAGACTTCATTTTAAACAAAAATCAATCGATTAGTATACACATACACTAGAAATATATACATATATAAATATGCAATATTAAACACTATTCCGAAAACTAATAATCATACACAATGAAAACTGTTTAGCATCACGCATTCAGATGAAGGAGAGATGAAAATATCCAGTTACCAGGTTGGTAAAGAAAGACTGATAACCACTTGTTTCTGGACGCATAAATCAGGTTTCAGGCGCTTGATGGAAATGGCTTCAGCAAACTTGAGGAGATTTCAGCTCTTTTGCCCATTGGTAATTTTGAACCACTTTTCGACGTCCACCTCATGACCCGTGTCGAGGAGATGCCTGGAGATGGCACTGCTTAAAGCATCTGTTCCCTTTAGACGTAAGCCTTTTGGTACATGTTCAGAAAACCGTAGATATGCCCTTCTTTCTGTCCTTCCAATATAACTGCTCCCGCAGATACATGTAAATTTGTATATACAGTTGGAGGTAACATGAGAAGGATATCTATCGATTTTTTTGATTGCAGCAAAGAGCAAGTTGTTCGATGGACCGGAACGAGCTTAGCTGCAGGATAGGCTATGGCTAGTGATGTACTCAGCCTTCTGTTGATCATCGCTGCAATGTTTTCACCTTTATAGTCAAGCTGAACGTAGACTGGCTTTTCCCCCACTGTGATCTGTTTTACATTTGTGACTTCAGATCTTCCATACTTGTTGATGAACTTTTGACGATACCCATTTCTCTTCAATATCTTTTCAAGGAACTCAAACTCCCCCTCTAGTTTCTCTATAGAGCATATTCTCCTCGCTCTTTAGTACAAATTCTTGACTAGACCACGTTTAAAGCTATGTGGGCAAAAGCTATTAAAATGCAAGTATTGTCCTTTCCATGTGGGCTTTCAATAAATTGACTTTTGAAGACTACCGTCTTCTAGGCGTTCCATGGTGATGTCGAGGAAGTGAAACTTTCCGTCACTTTCATGTTCCATAATGAAGTCAAAATTGGCATGTGCGTCATTGAATAATCTTAGTAAGTGTGAAGCGTGACTTTCATTTTTGCACACTATAAATGTGTCATCAACATAACGACAGTAGGAAGATATTTCGTCGATTGCTTGCTTCAACTTTGTTCTTTCAATAATATAAGAATAAAACTTGTGCGCTGTATAATTCCATTATGGGTAAATTTTTGTTTTGATAACACACAACCACACAATAGGGTGGGTGGGAGAGGGTTAAAATTCTAAAAAGTAATCTAGGTTGGTGGAGAGAGAGGTTGATTACTGAATCCTGCCTGGTTCATCGAGTCTACACCCAACACATGCAATAGGAATGACTCATCATTCATACCTGAAATATGGAAAATACAGCTACCAATCAAATCAAGTGAAAATCAAGAGAAAAACAATGGAACTATGTAAATGAATTTAGGTAGTCGTGTGATTGATTCCCTTGGTGTGATTATGAGCAGTAATAAATTGTGCTCGAAACGAGGTCATCAGTAAACATTACTGTATAACATCACTGTGAGACTTTATCAAAACAAAAATTTACCCATAATTTAATTTGTTCTTTCAAGGCTTGACACGAATATGTCTGCGCTAATAAGGTTGTTTTTATTGAATTGAATCTTTGTTTTTCCCGTCGATTGATTGGACCGAAGTGCTCGGTCTCAGGTTGACATGTCGGCTCCTTGTGCAGATGCTTCGACGATGTCCGGGCATTTAGTTAGTATACAATTGCAGGTACATCCAGCTGACGAGTCCAAATAGGACGAAATGCGCATCCTGGATTCCACTGCTAGCCACCATCCACCAATTGTATACTAAGGTTGTTTTTGTTTTGGGATGGTCTGGGTTTGTTGGTTGAAGGTGTAATTCAGTGGTGGAAACATGTTTAAATTGTGTATTTGTAAGTTATGCATAAGAGTCGATCGTTCAATAAATATGTAGGAGAAAATGGAGATTAATTGGGGTATACATTTTGGGAGGTCATCGAATGACATGGCACGCAATGCAGGTCATCGTCCAATTAGGTTGTCGGAGCGAGAATGGCATGGAAGAGATTATGGTCAATCGTGATGGACCGACCCAGTTGTGAAGAGGAGAGCAGAAGAATAAAAGAAAGTGGAGATGTGTTGTTGAAGCCCTATGCTCCATTCGAAACCCAAGGAAATAGTAGTAGTAATAATATAAGTTATGCGAGTGTAAGGGAATCAATGTAGCTGGACAAATAGATACGTCTGTGTAATATTTAATGAAAAGTTACTGTCAAAATTGCGTTGAGTGAAATTAGCCTTTTAACCGTTCCTTATTGAGTGACAATGTAATAAGTTAGAGCTAGAGAATGCATGCACATGTTTCACTCGTAGGTCGTGTTTCTGACTTCTCGTTCATAGTCAGTATTGTTTTAAGGATAATTTAATTCATTTTCTAGATTATCGTGTCGATTGATTGGACGAAATTGCTCGGCTCCTTCGGTCCAATCAATCGAGAGAAAACTCTAAAATTGAATTAAATAATTAAGAACAGAATATATTCAGGGAAGAGACTCTTTTCATCAACGAATTTATTATCAAGTTGTACAATCGTATATATACATGTGGTTCCTGCCTATCTTTCATGTTGCTATCAATAAATCGGTTAGGGTAACCGTTTTCTGCGAGTGTGGCTTTTAAGAAGTCAATTTCTCTGAGTCGATGCAATCAGAACTACAAATTTTTCTTATCCTAAAGCAGAGTGAATGAATTGGGTTCCCTTTCCTGGAGAGATAGGCACCCAACTGTAAAAATTAGTTAGTTGTCCGTTCCATGTACGTTTCCGGTGGATAGATCTTTTGAGAGATCTGTTATTACGTCTGCTAAAAGCACACATCTGGACACGGAATACTTAGTTCGGATTCCTTTTCTATTTGTCTGTTTTCGACATAGAACTTTGCACCGATGTGCACCAGTTCAAGTCGCCATACTCCCTCCTTGTAGTACACAAAGCAAGAGAAGAAAGTACAAGAAATGCATAATAGAGACAGTAAACAGAGCTGTAGGACAAAGGAATAGGATGCAGCTGCGCTAGCCACTGAGAACAATTTTGAGCCATGTCACCAATTGTTTCCAACCATTGGTTTTTACCGTCCCGAGGACCCCAACCAGTCAGGAAGTCTACACCTTCCTACGTGGCTTAGACTAACTGTTGTAGATTTCATTGACTGGTAAAGCCATGTTTTTGATTGACCTCCGCTAGCTTTTTTCCAGCCTGAACCTATATCAGCTAACACTACCCGTCGAGGAAGGCTATGACTTATTATTATTATTGCTCCCTTGGGTTCCTAGTGGAACATAGGGCTTCAACTGCACGTCTCCATTTACTTCTGTCTTCTGCTTTTTTTTCGTCTGCATCCATGTTAGTCCATATTCTTTCAACTCCTCTTCTCACGATCTATTCCATGTCACCCTTGGACGTCCCACACGCCGCTTCCCTTTCGGGTTCCACTCGAGGGCTTGACGCGCGATGTCACCCAGCGGTCTCCTCAGCGAGTGTCCAATCCATCTCCACTTTCTCCTGCATATTTGTTGGGCGATTGGTTCTTGCTTTGTTTGTTCCCATAATTCCTTGTTGGTGATTCTTTCCGGCCATCTGATCTTCAGTATTGAGCGAAGACAGTTGTTAATAAAGGTCTGCAACAGGCTGTTGGAAATATTCTTTGTGACCCGCCCACCAAGTTTCTGATCCGATTATAGAAGAACTGACTTTACGTTTGTATTGAAAATCCGAATTTTGTTGGTGATGCTGAGTGACGAAGATTTCCAGATTGGTTTCAGGTTGATGAATGTGTTTCTCGCCTTCCCGATTCTCGCTCGATTTGACATCCTCGTCCGTTCTTCCTGTAGTTGAGACAATGCTCCCTAGATAAGTGAATGAAGTAACCTCTTTCAAATCCCTCCCGTTGATGGTGATTGACGTTGGATGTTGTTGCTGTTGTTTGTTGGTTGGTTATTTTCATAACCTCCGTCTTGTCTATGTTTACCTGGAGTCCTGTCTTCTCCGGCTGCTTCTTCGACCAGTTTGTCGGTTTTCGCTTGTAAGTCTTCGATTGTGTGTGACATCAAACATAAATCATCCACGCGCGAAATCCAGGTCTTCTAGGTTCTTCACGTCGGTCCAGGATATTCCTGTCTTCTCGTTTCCCACTCACTGTCTGACGCATAATCCAGTAGTCCACCACAATTAGGAATATCATTGGGGATAATAAGCACCCTTGTCTGACTCCTGTGTTTACTCCAAACGCCTCGCTGAGTTTTCCGTTGTGGATCACTTGACATGTGCCGTTGTCACACAGCTGTTGAATAAGGTTGATGAATATTTGGGGTACGCCATAGTACTCGAGTAATTTCCAAATTACTTCACGTCAACGCTGTCGAAGGCCTTCTCAAAGTCTATAAAGTTGAGGTAGAGGTTTGATTGCCATTCCATGCTTTGTTCTATGATGATGAT